CGGCGTCCGCGCAGGGATTCGCATCCCGGGGGAGCGCAGCCGGCCGGGGCCCCAGGAGTTCCCTCGCTGGCTCTGAAGCGCAGATGGGCGCTGGGCGACCCCGGCCGCTGCCCGAGTCCCGGGTGGAGAGGGTTGGCCAGCTCTGGCTAGTGCAGTGACTGACAGATCGGCCCGGGTGGGTAGCGGGGGCTGGGGGTAGGGCAGGGGCGGGGCCCGGCCGTTAAAGGGGAAGGGACGTCTGTTTGAGCCAAGCGCTGGGGAAGACTGACCCGCGGAGATGTGCGGAGGTGGGGGGTAGGGCGAGGGTGTTAGGAACCAGGCATAGAGCGGGAGGGGCCCGAGCGCAGGTCGCTGAGTCAGCCGAGATGCTCACCGCGCCTCCACCCTCGTCGGTCTCCTCCTTTGGGCTTCCTCCGCCTCACCGGCTTCCTCGGCAGGTGCCTCCTCCCCCAGCCCCCACTCTTCGCGTCCGGATGGGTCCTGCTTGCCGGCTCCCGGATTCGTTTTGGCCCCCTCCTAAGTGCCTTCGAAGACCAAATCTCGTTGTGGCTGCCTGGCTGCACAAGAAGCGGCGGGGGAACGGCGCCCGGAGAGCTGGAGGCCCAGGAAGAGGACAGGTGTGGGAAGGGGGATGGCAGGGGTGCCTGGTGGGCTAAGGCGGGAAACAGCCATTCTGGGCCGGTGATCTTGGTGCACCTCTCGGCCTCTTATGTAGGGCCCCCCAGCCCTCAGGGCGCGCCTGTAACTGGTGTCCTGTGTTTCTTAGAATTTTGATTCTCCTAAATCGGTGTAAAGCGGGCCCGTGGCTCAAGCTGGGCCAACTCAGGCCGGTGGGATCTTGGGGCTGGCGTTCTGCCCCGGACCGCAAGTTCAAAGGGTCCCCAACGCAGGACTCTGCCCCTTCATTCTGCATTTAGAGAGTATATTCTCATATACTGCCCCCGTCAAAGGCGAGAGGATGAAATCGTCACAGGCGACACGGGGGACCTCACTGAGGCCTTAGGAGAATCCCCGCTGTCTCATTTTCCATAAACACTTCACCCCACCCAAGCCCCAGAATATGCGCCTGGAACGTGTCAGAGAAGGGAGGTGGGGAAAGACCAAAGCCGCTTGGTGACCTTGTGACCTCTGGCCGCGGACCCAGGATCTGGGAGTGTGTGAACTCTGCGTCCTTCCCCAGGATGGGACCCCCGCCGGGCTGGCCCCTGAGCCTTAGACCCGCCTCCGCCGCCGCCCTGCCCAGTGCAGGCCGCTGTAATCGGGTTAGCTGAGCCGGAATTACATTACCTTCTCCGGCCCGCCCCAGCCCCCGGGGGGGCCCTGGCGCCTCCGAGCCGGTGAGACTGGGCGCTGGGAGGGAGGCCCTCCTGCCATCCTGTGGCGGGTGGGCACCGAAGAGTAGTTCATCCTGCCTCGGACACGTGGTGGCCGAAGGACCCCACCCTCGCCAGCCCTCGACCCTCGCCCCCCGCCGACTGCAGTATTCAGCCTGCTGGTGTCCCGTGTGAATCGAAAGGCCTTCAGAGTCTAAGTCTAGTAGATGAGTCTCCCCGAGAGCACTGATCTTCCAATTGATTCTCCAGGATCCCCCGGGAAAGACTCTGCCCCTCCTTTCTCCCTAGCAGATGGGCTGGCAGCCTGGTGCCTGGGGCAGGGTGAGGGCGTCTTTTCTCTCCTGGGAACCAGGAGTGATATTTGGGCATCTGGGCAGGAAGATAAAGAAGAGTGGGCTCTCTCCTCGCCCAAAGTAACCAGCCCCCCAGTGTCCTCAGTCGAAAGGGGTGAACCGTGAGGGTGTGGGGGGAAGGCAGTTTGCAATAATATTATGTAATATCTTCCCCCCCCCCCCCCCCCACCTCAATCATCCAATTTCTCCAGCCCTTCCTCAGCCCTGCGCACAGTCCCTTCTGAAAGAGGGTGGGGGCTCCTGCCAATTTGGCAGCTGTATTTTTATCTTGGAGAAGTCAGACATTATCATCTCTATCCCTTCACAGAAACCCAAGCACCCTTTGTCAGCAGTAGAGGGTGGCTACAAGGGAGCATGAAGAGATAGCATGGGGTGGACACCCCAAAATGGGAACAAAGAACGTAGGGAGACAACAAAGTAATACCGTAGCCTCCGAAGAGGGCTGGCCTGCAGGTTAGGAATTTGCCAGGCTTGTTCTCTGCTCTGGAGGGTGGATCTCTTGGGGGGTAGGGATGGTACCAATGTGTCAACAAGCTGAATACATCCTTCTGGAATGAATCAATGAATGAGAAAAAGGCAACATTGTGCAGACGTGGCTCCCCCGTACATCCCTACCTTGTGAGGACAGCACAGATGGTACTATTGCCCAGAGATTGCCCAATTGGTCCTTTGAGGAGAATGGTCACAAACTCAGTAGTACATACAGATCTTCTGGGGAGTTTAAAATTTTTGTTGGTACCCCACTTCAAGAACAGAGGACATCCAGTTCTGTCAACCACAGTCCTAGGAATTTCTCTTCTTGCCTCTACCCCTCTAATTCTCGGGGAAAAGATGGTTCTTGCTAGTTTATGTTGAGGATGGTGGCACCCTTATACGCACTTCTTTGGATCTGTCTCATCATATCCCATGTGTCTGCCGCCCACCCCCAACTCTTCAAGTCTTCAGACCTGCAGGCCTTCAGCATCACAGGAAGAGGCCAAGCTCCCAGCCTGGGCTCCTGCTCCTTTCCTTCCTTCCTCTTATTGGTGTAGTGTTCTTCATTTGAAATGGTCTCCACTCCAATATCATCATTTCTGTCATCAACTTAGTCCTTCCTATCCCCAGCTGTCTCAGCTCTTTATCATCTGGACAAAATCTTTGCCTGGCTCTTCAAGAGAAAATTACATTTTTCTTTTCCCTTTTTCTGTCCACATACCTATTGTCTCCATGTCCTCACCATTTATCCATGTTTCAACCCAGTGGAAGCTGGCTTCACTACACTGACCCTTTCTGAGAGATCTACAGTGTCCATTGTCCCTTTTCCAGGACTTCTCTGACATGTTTTACTTTG